GTAAAATAGAAGTGCTAATAAGTTATACTACAATAACTCTTACCTGTTAGATGAAAAGTGTAAAATAGAAGAGCTAATAAGTTATACTACAATAACTCTTACCTGTTAGATGAAAAGTGTAAAACAGAAGAGCTAATAAGTAAAAAAAAAGAAGAGCTAAGAAGTTATACTACAATAACTCTTACCTGTTAGATGAAAAGTGTAAAATAGAAGAGCTAATAAGTTATACTACAATAACTCTTACCTGTTAGATGAAAAGTGTAAAATAGAAGAGCTAATAAGTTATACTACAATAACTCTTGGCAAGGAGTTAAACTGGGGCTGTCAAGATAGCTCAGTAGTAACAGTGCTTGCTTCAAAAGCCCCACAACTTTATTTCTAGCCCTAGAGCTCCCAGCAGAAAAGAACGGATTTCCAAAAGCTATGCACTCACACACACACTCTCTCTCTGTCTCTCTCTCTCTCTCTGTGTCTCTCTGTCTCTCTCTCTGTCTCTCTCTGTCTCTCTCTCTCTCTCTCTCTCTCTCTCTCACTCACACACACACACACACACACAATATAATAAGAACAAACTCAGAAGGACACGTAGCTGTCTGGGGAACTTTTTAGAATATAGAGAACAGTTGTGCCAAATCTTGGTAGGGTCACCCTATGGAGTCCAAACTGGCTTGAAACTTGCCATGTAGACCTTGAACTCAGTAGTCCTGCCTCAACCTTCTAAGGACTTAATTGTGTTGGATCTTAACAGATGAACAGAAGAGCAGAAATTAACCTTGAGAGGATTGGGGCTGGTGGGCTGGGAGATCTTCCAAAGGGGACAAGACAGCTAACGAGCAGAGCCACAGTTGTGACCTAAGCCTTTGTAGGTAGTTGTAGACCATACAGGGTCACAGGTGGAATCTTAATAACTGATGCTCTCTCAGTGGTGGCTCACGCCTTTAATCCCAGCACTGGGAGGCAGAGGCAGACAGATCTGAGTTTGAGCCTGGTATACACAGTGAGCTCTAGGACAACCAGGGGTACACAGAAAAACCCTGTTTCGAAAACAAAAAACAAACAAAAAAAAGATGCTCTCGCCCAGACTACATCCTATAGCTACTTCCAGCTTCTTCTCTCCTTAGATTGTCTACAACCTGCTGTCTCTGCGCTTCAACTCTCGGATCCGTGTGAAGACCTATGCAGATGAGCTGACGCCCATTGAGTCTGTAGTCTCTGTGCACAAGGCGGCCAACTGGTATGAGAGGGAGGTGAGCTATTGGATACAGTGGGCCCTGCCTCTGGGCCAGACGTCTGCACTGTTTGTAACTGGGAGGTGCAACTCCTCTGCTGTTGGCCTGATGGACAGGTTGCCTGAAAGCTGTTCTTTTCTAGGTCTGGGACATGTTTGGAGTTTTCTTTGTTAACCACCCTGATCTAAGAAGGATCCTGACAGACTATGGCTTCGAGGGACATCCTTTCCGGAAAGACTTTCCCCTCTCTGGCTATGTTGAGGTAGAAACCTTAAAACTGGAGTAGCAGTCATGGAGCTTCAGAGATTATGGGCGTGATGGGAATATGATCTGTAGATTATGGTAGTTTAAGAGCCTGTGCTGCAGTTCTAGTTTTATTTTAATAATGTGAGGCAAGTTATTTGAGTTTGTCATGAGACAATTTTGTGGTCTGTCTATTGGAAACAATAAGAACTTAAATATTGATGGCATTAGGTATTAAGTGATATATAGCCTGATATATTATAAATGTTAGTTAAAGCTAGTCATTATTGTAATGATTTTGTTTTGCCTTTTGAAACCAGACTGTCCTGGAGACCAGACTGGCATCAAACTCACAGTGCTGGGATTAAAGGTGTATGCCACCACTGCCCAGCTTGTATTTTATTTTATTTTATTTTTAAAGATTTATTTATTACATATACACCAGATTGAATTGTAGATGGTTGTGAGCCACCATGTGGTTGCTGGGAATTGAACTCAAGACCTCTGGAAGAACAGTCAGTGCTCTTAACCTCTGAGCCATCTCTCCAGCCCTGTATTTTATTTTTTTAAGATTTATTTTTATGCTGGGCAGTGGTGGCACAAACCTTTAATCACAGCACTTGGGAGGCAGAGGCAGGCAGATCTCTATGAGTTCAAGGATAGCTTGGTCCACAAAGTGAGTTCCAGGACAGCCAGGGCAACAAAGAGAAACCCTGTCTTGAAAAACCAAAAGAAAAGAATGACTACTGAGGACCTGGAGTACTGGTATATTCTTCTAATCTCAATACTAGGGAAGCTGAGGCAGGAGGAATGTATTAAGGCCAGCTCAGGCATGGCAAAAGCCTACTGAAGGGGTGGGAGACTGGAAAGATAGCTCTGTTGGTAAAGTACCTGCTGCACAAGCATGAGGACCTGAATTTGCATCCTCAACATCCTTGTAAAAGGATGGATGTAAACCATGCGTGGTGGTGCACGCCTTTAATCCCAGTATAAGAGGCTGAGGCAGGCAGGTCTCTCCTGAGTTCCAGACTAGCCTTTAGTCCCAGCACTCAGAGGCAGAAGCAGGTGGATCTCTGAGATGGAGACCAACTTGGTCTACAGAGTGAGTTCAGGGCAGTCGGGGCTACAAAGAGAAACCCCAAAAAGCAAGCAACAACAACAAAAAAGAAGTTGGGTGTCTGTGTAACCAAGTAGGTCCTGGAGTTTATAAGTCAGCCAGTCAGTGAGCTCTAAACTTAATGGGAGGCCCTTTCTTAAAAAAATTAAGTAGAGGGCAAGGAGGTGATGGCTCATGCACCTGGAGACCTGAGTTTTAATCTCCAGAATCACAGTAAGTGCTGCATAGTAACCCACGTATGGGATCCCAGTGCTCCTGCAGAGAGATGGGGAGTAGAGACAGGAAAATCCCAGGAAGTTTGTGGGCTGGCCAGCCTGTACATAGCAGCAAGCAGCAGCACATATATACATGCATTGTACAGACATGAGTCATGCACATTAAATAAATATGTGGAAAATGACCACTCACACACACACTCTCTCTCTGTCTCTCTCTGTCTCTCTCTCTCTGTCTCTGTCTCTCTCTGTCTCTGTCTCTCTCTCTCTCTCTCTCTACATAGGTCTCTACATAGTTCTCTACATAGTTCCAAGACAGCCAGGCCTACATAGACAATGCTGACGTTGAACTCAATGGAGATTCTCCCTCATCTCCTGAGTGCTGGAACTAACGTGGAGTACCACCACACCCAGCCTAAATGCCTAAATTGATTTTTTCAGGCACTGACTGTTTTAAAGTGTGTGGTTGGGTAAGCAGTAAATCTGTGAGCAAGCAGTTCAGAGCTCAAGAGGTGATGTGGCAGAGGAATCAACAGTGCTGGCAGCATGTAAAAGTGCAGGCCATTTGGAAATCCCACACATTAGTTTATTGCGATGTGTGACCTCGTGGGTAGGGAGCATGGAGGTGACGGAGCTTGTAAAGAGTTCTGAACAGAAGGAAGGGGCTGGGGCTGGGGCTGGGGCGTGGTCATGTGAAATGGACTCCTAGGTCATTAGTTCTAACTTTTGCTCCTGCAGCTACGTTATGACGATGAGGTGAAGCGGGTCGTGGCTGAACCAGTGGAGTTGGCACAAGAATTCCGCAAGTTTGACCTGAACAGTCCCTGGGAGGCTTTCCCTGCCTATCGTCAGCCCCCTGAGAGTCTCAAGCTTGAAGCTGGAGACAAGAAGCCTGAAGCCAAGTAGCTTCAAAAGCATGTGGCTCCTAGAGGAAGAATACCTTATCTACGGTTGGCTGTGTAAATAAACTAGGGATATTCACCCCTTCCTCTGTGTTGTTCGGCTGCTTTTTTGAGACAGGGTTTCTCTGTGTAACCCTGGCTGTCCTGGAACTCCCTCTGTAGCCCAGGCTGGCCTTGAACTCAGATCTTCGTGCCTCTACCTCCTAAATGTTGGGATTAAAGGCATGCGCCACCAACGCCCGGCTCTGCCTGTGTATTTTTAAGTGGGGATGGCAGCACATGTGGAGGTCAGAGGATGATTTGCAGAAGTGGTTCCATCCCACCATGTGAGTTGTGGGAATTGAGCTCAGCAATTTATGCTTGGGAGCAAGTGCTCTTTCTGCTGAGCCACTCCCTTCCCGTCCCTCATGTGTATAATGGTAGACATGGCACTGACTCAGGAGACAGAGGGTGCAGGGGGTGGAGGTGTCCCTGCCAAATCTATCTAATGAGACTGTATGCTATAGTTGTAGACATTGTGACCTGTAGGCCTCCATGTGTTTCTAGAGGGCTCTGGAGCAGTAATCAGTTTTCACAGTCCTTAGGATTTAGAGTAGGTGTGGCATGGTCTTCAGTGACAACTGGAGGGCCTTGAAACTGCTGAAGAAGTCCTTATCTCAGCAGACCGTGTGAAAGCAGCTGCTAGATCCAGGGGCCTGGGTGGGGCCAGGAAAACCCCAGTCTACTCTCATTCCACCTGAACATCCACAGGGTTCTATGAGCCACTTAGCTCTTCCACTAAAGGAGTCTTGCCAGTTTCGGGTCTAAGTCTAGACAGTTGTAAGTAGAGTCATCAGAGCTTGGGTAAAATGCACTCATGAACTACCCAGTTTCCCCAGCTGCTTGAGGGTTGGTTGGCTCTGTGCAGAGTGCCTTCCATGGGTACTCCTAGTCTGTCCGCTATGCCGCTGGAGAACTGGTCTTGCAGCTGATGCTTTTGGCAGCTCAGGAGCCCTGGAGGCTGAGCTGGACTGGATGTCAGGTTGGATTGAGTGTCCCAGCTGGCCTCTAGCAAGATGTTTTCATTGTGAGAACAGACAGTAAGATAGCATTGCTGCTTGAGATGTATCCCTTGGGAGGGTCGAGCTGGGTCTCTTAAACAGCCCATGCCTCTGAGCAAGAACAAGCATGCTGCTACTGCCAAAACTGAAGAGTCCCCATCTCTGCAGGGTGAAAACAGCCTCCAGAAAGTGAATAAGGCCATAGCCAGCCCTCCCCCCTCCCACTCGGCATTGAAGACTGACACATAAAGGAGTGCAGTAGCAACATGTATTGGGAATTTGGAGCTATCAAAGGCAGATGAGGAGCTGGGAGGAAAGAGTCAGAGGACATGGCTGGGACACTACAGTTCCTGAATCATGCAGGTACAAGGGCTTCAGGGTGGGTAGCTAGGAACCAAGAAAAGGCTATTGGCCACCAGGAGGTACACTTGGCTCTTTGAGCCTCACATGGCAGAGGAAGAACTGTGGGCCTGGTGAGTGCTACAGTGGGTGATGGTATAGAAAGCTTATGGAGATTAGTTTCAGTGCTTACCATTGTTCTAGAACCCTACCAGGGCATTGGGCAAATTACAGGAGTCATGTTAGGTTTTTGCCAAGAGGGGAGTCAGACTTGGTATGTATTGAGACAAGATCCATGCTTGAGAAGGTTACTATGTATATATGTGCATTTGGAATAGGAGAGGGGACCTGAGATCCGTATCCAGGCACTTTTTTTCTTCTTTTTACAAATTTATTTTTATTTGATGTGCATTTGCATGTACATCTGTGTGAGGGTATTGGATCCCCTGGAATTAGAATTGCAGACAGTTGTGAGCTGTCATGTGGCTGCCGGGAATTGAGCCTGGGTCTTCTGGAAGAGCAGACAGTGTTCTTAAGCACTGAGTCATTTCTCCAGCCCATCCAGGCACTTTTCTGATAAAGATGCCTCCTGAGCAACAGAACAGATCAGAGTGAAGGACAGGAAGGATCTGACTCCTCTCTACTGCCTCAGGGTATTTCATGGACAGCACTGTCATAGGAGGTGGCCTGCAGTAGCCAGAGGACCCGGAAGTGAGGCTAGAAGTCATTCTTCCTAGCCTGGGCCATGGGTTGAAAGGTCAAGGCATCCTAAGTTCAGGGTTTGGAAGGGCCTAAGGGTAGACCTGCCTGTGGTGGGGAGCAACTAGGATGGGTCCTACTAGCTTATAGGCTTCCCATCTCCTTGCCCAGACTTGCTCCCATACCTGATGCCTAAGGACAGCCCACGCCTAAAATAGCTCCCCTTGCAGTTGCTCTAGGACAGCTTATATTCAAGATGAGAAACCAGGATCCAAGCCATCGACTCAGGCTCTTCCTGCAGCACCACATGCCCAGTGATTTGGGGGTGCTAAGCAATGGTACACCTTCAGGACCTTCAGAAAGGGCTTCCTCTTTGGACTTTTAGCACCTGCTTCTTACAAGCCTGTTGTGTGTTACCAGCTCCACAGGGCTAGTGAGGCTGAGGAGAGGGGTCCTTGGGCCCAGGTCTTTGCCCTCTTGACACAGAAAACACTTTGGAACCTGTGCAAGGGTTTCTGTCCCCAGGGCAAGCCCCTTCACTGGGATCCTGGACCTCCATCCTTGACTCTCACCCGACCCCTCCCCTTTCACTTGGCATTTCCCCTTCTCATCATCCTCTCCCCACTCTGGGCAGGGGCTCCATCTGCCTCTCCAGGTTCTTCCTCTCTAGCCTACCTTGGTCCCTGGCTCCTGATCCCCCATGCTTATATCCATTCTATCTTGTTCCATAGACCCAGCTAAGGCCTGGGTTTAGGCAATAGGCAAAATGCTAAGGGCAAGACTGGCAGGCAGTGGTTACATGCAAGTATGTCCAGAGATCAGGGCTGAAAAGTGTGTTTAACGCTTGCTGAAAGAAAGCAGCCCCCAAAGTAATTCATGTCAGGTCCTCTAACGCCTATCCTGGCAGCCCCGTGAAATATGGAAACCCCATATGCTGGTCATCTAGTGTTTTGTTTTTTTGTTTTTTTTTTTTGAGACAGGGTTTCTCTGTGTAGCTTTGGAGGTTGTCCTGGAAAACTTTCTGTAGACCAGGCTGGCCTAGAACTCACAGAGATCCGCCTGCCTCTGCCTCCCGAGTGCTGGGATTAAAGGCGTGAGCCACCAACGCCTGGCTTCCATCACCCAGTCTTAATATCCTAATGTCAAAGCTAACCAAGACTCTCTGGTCTCTGAGACTGCCAAGTGCCCATGTGGACTGGGAACACAGACTGGACTTCAGTGGCTCTATTTACAGGAGGGGGTAAGATGGAGAAACATTGCCTCTTTGTGGGCAGGAAAGAAAAAATCTTGTTTCATCTCAAGCCTCACATGTGACATCTTAGAGTAAAGCAGGGAGAGGACCCTCGCAGAGAGAAACTAGCTCAAACAGTTTAAGGTTGCCCTGATTCTGTGTAGCTCTGGTCTCCCAGCGCCTGCCTCATTTTTGTGTCTAAGACAACTTACTCTAAAGCGTGCTCTGCGCAAATTAGGTAGCCCATTCTGGGAGGGCAGCCAGGTGTCAGTCCTGTGTCAGCCCCATGCCCTACTGAAGGGAGGAACATGCTGCCTTGCATCCTGTGTTCCTAGTGGGTTAGAGTAGACGTCGTTCCCTGTCACAGAAAGGCATAATTTGGTGGGAGTCAGACGCAGGGATGCACTAGACAGACATGAAGGTGAGGCCCGCTTGAATTTAGGAGCCTGAGCTTCAAATTCTCACTGTCACCAGGCCTGACCCCATCTAGGCCCTATGTGTTGTCCTAGTCAGGGCAGTCCTGTCCCGTCCCGAGAAGGGGAGGCCAAGGCATCAGAGTCAAGACACAGGGCAGGCCCTAAAGCTGACAGAGGCAGGCCCACTTTATTGGCTGAGTCCAGGCGCGCTGGGCAGGCCGTTATGCTCAGGCCGGTGGGGCGGTGGGGCATTCGGGCCGTGGTCCCGGCTCGGCATGCACGCCCCACGGCCTCACGGGTTCCTCCAAGCAGAGGCTCAGAGTTCGGGGGGCTTGAGGGCCGGCAGGCTGGCGGCGGCGAGGTCGGGGTACACCAGGAAGCCTGAGAAGGTGATGTACTTGCCGTGGTTGCTGTACGCGCCATAGCCATCATGGTCGTGGCTGAGCAGCCAGACGGCGTCACCGCGCCGCAGCGCCAGCATGACGCTCTGGCTCTGCATCTCGCGGCGCCTCGAGGCGCCGTCGTCGTAAATCATGGCCTGCACCTCGTCGCGGTTCTTCATCAGCTTCACCGAGAGCGTCTTGCGCGGCAGCTTGCCCAGGGTGAAGGAGAAGAAATAGGCGCCGGGCAGGCGGCAGCGGAACACGCCGGCCGCCGCGTCGAAGTCGCCACCTATGTTGACCAGCTCGGTGTCGAAGGCCAGCGGCCGGTGGCGCGGCCCCGGGCCAGCATCCGAGCCCACCAGGCTGCGCGTGCGCGCCGCTGAGAAGGCCGAGCGCGGCTCCGGGGGCGCGGCTCCGCGCGCAGGCGCGTCGGCGTCGGCGTCGGCGTACACCAGGTAGCCGCTGAAGGTGGCGCCGGGGGCGCCCAGCGCGTACTGCGGAGCGCCGTGCAGCCGCAGCCACACCGTGTCGCCGTAGTCGAGCTGCAGCATGGCGCTCTGGCTGGCGGCGCGCCGCGCGCCCGGCCGCCGCTGCTCGTCGAAGGCCAGCGCCTGCACCTCGTCGCGGTTGCGCACCAGCATCACCGACAGGCTCTTGTGCGGGGCCTTGCCGGCCGTGAAGGAGAAGAAGTAGGCGCCCGGCACGCGGCAGCGGAACCGCCCCGTGGCCGCGTCGAAGTCGCCCCCGATGTTCACGTACACCTTGTCGAAGGTCACCGCCATTTCCGACGTGCCCTCCAGCGGGGTGGTGCGAGCCGCCGAGAAGGCTGACCGCAGCTCTGAGGAGCCAGGGCCAGCCGGACCCAGTGCCCAGCAGGCCACCGGGCTTAGCAAGCCCAGCAGAAGCAGCAGCATGGCACCTGGGAGGGGAGAGAAGACCCAGGCAGGGGAGAAGGGTTGGACAGCGGCTGCCTCCACCTGTAGTTTCTCTTCCTAGCCTTGCTCTACGTTTTCCTTCACTGGGCCAGTATGTCTCACTTAGTGTCACCTGGAGGGCTTATTACAGCACCCATACTTATCGTCTCCCCCCCCCCCCGTCGAATTTTTTCCATAAGCCTGGGATGCGGTCTGAGAGTTTGCATGTCTGATAGTATCCTTAGTTGTCTGATTAGCTCATCTAGAGTTCACATTTTTCAGAACTATTGGATGAGGCCAGTACTTCTCAGACTTTTGTTTTTAAGCATGAGAATCCTTTTGCAAATAAGACCTGGTACTCATGCCACAGGCATGTTGAAACGTCCTGGTTAAAGAGGCCTACAGCCCTGTCCTCTTTCCTCACCCCTCCTTCTCTGGGTGTTAAGGAGGTCTGTTTCCAGCAGCCAACACTTCCATGCCACTCATTTTCCTGTAGTCTTTTCCTGGTCCTTGGCCTGCCCTTCACAATAAACACTGGCTGGCTGTATCAGTTTCCACCATGGCAACGTTTTAAGTCTTATCTGGGAATAAATGGAGAGAGCTGCTCTCTAACCCCTCTACGGGCCTCTGACCTACTCAAGAGTTCCCTGAGGCCCTTCCTGCACTGAGGAGGTCTGGCCAAGCTTTGAGTTAGTGTCTTCCCTATGAAAACAATGGGGTAACAAGGGACCTGAGAGATGGCTCAGCAGTTAAGAGTGTTGCCATTCCAGAGGACACAAATTTAATTTCCCAGTACCACAAGGCAACTCACAGCCATCTGCAACTCTAGATCTGCTGCCTCTTCTCACTTCCATTGGCAGCATGCATGCACTCAGTGGTACACAGATACCTGTATACATAATTTTGTTTCAATTTTAAGGGCTCTAGTAACTCCCTTTGTGCCTTTGTGCTTGGAGGTTAGCTCCTGTGGAAAGGAGCAAGTCACAGCTGCTCAGGATAGGGAGAACAAAATAAAATTCTGGCAGGGCTTTGGCAGGATGGTGATGTCATCAGCTCCACTGGTGGTGGTGGTGGAATGGAGTAGACAGACTTAGATCTGGGTACCAGTCTCGGGGATCTAACCATAAGCACTGACACCAACTCACAGTCACCGTGGCCATTTGCTTTTTAACTCTCTGGGTAAGGCTTCATCCATGCACATGGCATGATGGAGGGCTCACACAAGCTCGTGGCAATATACCCAGACAGCAATTGTGAACAAGCTCTGTGTAGAGACAGACCTACCCAGGCGTTCATACGCTTCTCTTCTGACCCCTGGGAAAAGTGATCTGATCAAGTTCTTGACCTAAGGGGTAGAGCCTCAGTAAGTGCTTGGTGAAGGCATTATCCACTTCCTGGAGTCATGCTGATGGTGGGGTTCCATCGTGCTCTGAAGTAGGCCAGAGGCTTTGAGGCTTGAACACCCAAGGCTCCAAAGCGGAGGCAAGCAGGAGAGAGACTGGAGACATGAGCTTCTCTGGGAAGTACCCCGGGAGTGTGTGTAGCCTTGTGTGTCTTACAGACACCAGGGGCCTGCTGAGCTTCTCTGGGAAGTACCCCGGGAGTGTGTGTAGCCTTGTGTGTCTTGCAGACACCAGGGGCCTGCTGGGAAGAGCTGCCAGGTGCAGCTCCGCAGCTGTGTCACTCCTGGCTGTTCACCTGAAGCCTGGACTCTAGCCTGCACTCCACTTGCCCAGCTGCTGGAGTAGAACGCACTGCCCTTTAATTCTCACAATAAAACCCTCACGTCCAGCTGAACACCGCCTCCTTCCCGACGGGTACTTTTCTGATTCTCACAGAGATGTCCTATGGGCTACTTGGTGAGGATAGGGAGGAGAAGGGGCCCATCTGCAGGGGTGAAAACTGCACCTGGCAGGAGCCTAATCTATTCTTTTTACAGGGCCATTTTAGACATCAGACAAGCCCTCTCCCATTTTGTGGATCAGAAAGCTAGTGTTTAAACAAGGCGTACACGTTTTGGCTCAAGGTCATCCACGGAACACTACAGTAAGCCTTAAACAGGGTTTTTAATTTCAGATGCAGGGTTCTTTTCTGCTAGCTTACCCTCTTCCACAAAGGCATCTTTACAGCCAACCTGTTTCCCGCCTCTGACCCCTTTTGCAAAACACAGAAGAGGCAAGGAATAAGTGCTGGGATCGAGCGTGAAGGAGGAAGCAAGGAAACAAAGGCAAGCAAAGCCCTCCGTCGGTTTGTCTCCTGGGAGGGGGGAGAGGGAGGGGGAGCGCTCCCCCGCCCTGCAGCCTTCCTAGCAGGTCTGCTCTAGAAGCTCCTGCCCACACTGTCCTTTGCCACCTCCCTCCCAGTTTGGTCCACCCATCAGCGCCAAAGGGTCTTCCTGTGGGGCCAATGCCCTTCCCCCTTTCAGACTCCACTGCACATGTTCCTGAACCCTGGATCCCTTCCTTTGACAACCCCTTTGCCCAGCAGGTCAGAGGGGGATGGGAAGGTGTCAGGTGGGTGTCAGAGCTCCAGGGAGGAAATGGCTGCACAAAGCTCTGTCCAGGTAAAGCTCAAAATAGTCTTCAAAGAGAAAAACTGGGACAGAGAGCTGGGTAGACCCAGAGCCCCGGAACCAATGGAGAAGGTGCAGCGATATCAGGCTGAGAGCATCTTCAAACCCCCAGCGCCTTGCTCCTGGTGCCCCAGTTAAACCCGTTCTCAAACCCCGCCAGAATCCCCTTTCTATCTTCCTTGAAAGTCGAGCATCCTTTCAAGAATGTGAGCCCCACTTTTGCAGAAGTAGCAAATTAATCTTTTCTCGTGGGGGAAAAATGCCCCAGAAAAGGGTCTCTCCATCCCAAGCCCTTTTCTTTCAGACCTGCCCTCCACCCCTCCCTTCGGAGTAAAAGCCCTTGAGCCTCTTTCATGGAAAAGCGCCCAGGTTCTCCTTGCAAGGAAAAAAAGGACCGGGTCCCTCGCGCCTCCCGCCGCCCCCACTCGCATAGAAGAGAAGCCTGCGCCCCCGCCTCCTCCCGGCTGCCCTCACCTGGCTGGCGGCGGGCGGGTCGGCTTCGGTCGGAGCCGGCGATCCGGCTCCCGCGAGGACGCCGGGCTGCGCACTGGTCGCCCGCGCTGTGGCTTGGTCGGGCCTTCGGGGGTGGCGGGGGGCACGGGCGGCGGCGAGTGGGGACCCCGGCACAGGGAGGCGTGAGCGAGTGGGAAGGACAGCAGAAGCTGAAGCGGAGAAGCGCAGGGGCGGGGAGCAGGGGAGGCGGAGGGGAGAGCGGAGGACGAGGGAGGGGCGCGGAGCAGCGGGGCCTGGGGCACCGCACCGAGCCTGCGCCGAGCACGGGACCCTTCCTCACTCGGGACCAAGAGCTTTATCTTCTGGGTGCAGAAAGCAGGCGTCAGTGATCCAAATTTAGCAGATGGGGAAACCGAGGCCGCTGTAGAAGCCACACTAGGGATGGCTCAGGGCATCCTATAGACCGGCTTCCCAGCTTGTGTGGGGATACACGGATTGGGCTGCAAGGACAGTAGGAGGTGAGGTTTTGTGTGAGACGATGTCCAGGCTGAGTGGCCTTGGTGAAGGTCTAAGGGGAAAGATAAATGAATGGGTCACTGTCCTTAGTAAAGGAAGAGATGAAAGTGCCCTACTTTTCCTTCCTCGCTCCTGAGCCTAAACATGCTCCCGTGCTTTAGTAAGGCTGGAGGACAAAGCTGCAGGCATCAGCACACCAGCTTGAGTCCCTCTGGGAAGGACAAAGAAGGAGCAGGGTCCTTGCAGTGGCCTGAATGTTTCTTTCTGGAAAGGGTTGAGAAGGGCGTTAGAAGGTCCCCGTATGGGACATGGACGTCCGGTCGACCTGTGCTTAGGTAGCAGGAGCCCCCCAAGGCCTCAAAACTGGAGTCAGCATCTGCCCCTCTCCTACTCACAGGCTGTCTGTATAGCTCCTTGCCCTAAGGAGCTTTCTGGAATGCTCCAAACTTATCTGAGCCCAGTTATTGGAGTACAAGTCATTGCCAATGAAGGTGTTGGAAGTGGCGGACTTGGCTTCAAGTTCCTCCAGGGTGTTGGGTGAGTGAAGGGATGGATGAGTGGATATCTCCCTGGATCGAAGGGAAAGACTGAAAGCCCTTTGGGCAGAGGCGCGGGAACAAGGTGACAGGAGGCAAACTTGTGTAGGCCTTGCCGGGTCATAGATGTCTCCTTCTCCGTGAACAGGGGGAGGGCCGTGCACGTTTGATAGCCTGAAGGTGTGGTGAGCCATGCAGGCGTGCACAGGAAAGTTGGGCAAGGCCAGGAGTCAGGCTGTGACAGCTGTGGCCCTGACATTGGATCCCTCAGTCAGGGGCGTAAGGCAGCCCTTATGAGTGTGGATCCATTGGTGGAAGGGAGACCAGGACAAGTAGGTGCCAGCAGGGGCTGCCTGGGGCTGGGAGACGTGTGCCACTTAACCAGAGAAGTCAGGGTGGGGATGGAGATGGGTAGAGCATGGCCATAGGTGTTGATTCAGGGTCTTGGGGAGGCGGAGGCCAGGAAAGGACGAGGGGAGAAATAATGCCAGGAGAGGGGTGTGGTGCGTCAGGCCATAGGAACCAGATAGGAAGTTAGGGATAGATGGCAGGAGGCCGGGGTTGCATCCTCGCTTGCTCCTCCCTTGTGAGTCACGCTGGTTTGAATGGCAGGTGTTGACAGTGCTCTGTCCCCACTCCAGCACCTTCTCATCATAATGCTTCCCCGAGCCCGGATATTACCTGAGGACAGCTTTTGACCCTAACTCCCGTTTGCACCTCTCTCCTGGAGCATCCTCGGTTGTGCACTTGAGTAAGGCCAGAAGCACTGGAGAGCTAATGAGAGGCAGGGGCTGCGAGTGAATACCAGCCTCCCGGTTCCTCAGCGGGAGCCTTCCCAGTCCAAGATGTGTTCTAGCAGAATTAAATGATTCCTTTAGTGACAACTCAGTGACATCACTTCCCTTCTTCCCTTTCTAGGCCCACCATATTTCCTGAGGTTCCCTCCTAAGTCACTATTCAAATCCAGACTCTCTGGTTCTCTCTCCGTGTCTCTCTCCACTCTGTCTCTCTCCTCCCCCCCCCCGTGTGTGTGTGTGTGTGTGTGTGTGTGTGTGTGTGTGTGCGCGCGTGTGCACTCCGCAGTGAGAATGTCAGAGTACAACTTGCAGGAGTTGGTTCTTTCCTTCCACTTTGTGGCTTCTAGGGACCAAACTCAGGTTGCTGTCAGGCTTGGTGACAAGAGTACTTACCTACTGAGCCGTTGCTCTGGCTCCCAGACAGTGCTCTTAAAGGGACTGACTTTAAAGGGACAGCTGGTAGGCCCCCTCCTCTTGTCCTCCTCCTTTTCTTTCCTTCTGGGAAGGTGGACATGAAGGACAGAGGTCACTTTGACAGTGTTCTAAACACAGTGCTGGGCGAATACCCAGAAAGAAGCTGAGATGAACAAGCCGTAGACCTTGCTTCAAGGAGACAACACTTTAGTGCAGTGGTTCTCAACCTTCCTTCCTAAAGCTGCGACCCTTTAATACAGTTCCTCATGTTGTAGTGACCCCCAACCAGAAAACCCTTCATAACTGTAATCTTGCTACTGTTATGAATCATAATGTGAATATCCGTGCTTTCCAATGGTCTTAGGTGACCCCTGTGAAAGGGTCATTCAACCCCTAAAGGAGTCATGACCTTCAGTGGGACTGTAGGGTGTGGACAAGAAGAGCTCAGCCCGGGACAGAGGCACAAAGTTCTGTGGTGGGGCATGCGGAAGGTGTCATGAAGGAAGGCGTTTCCACACAGCGACAGGGTGACCGGGTTCTGACCTGGGGAGTGGGGGCGGAGATGGGGGAGTGAGAGGGTTATAGGTAAGAAGGAGAGAAGAGCAAGGGTGTGGAGGACACACAGACAGCAGCTTGGGGAGGGAGCGGCTCGTGCCAAGTGAAGAGACACAAAGAAGAGAGAGGACGGAGGAGAGAAGAAAGCCCATCGAGGAGAAAATGGTGGCTGTGTCTAGATGAATTTGGACTATGAAAGACCAGAGGGACGTGACAGGAGAGATTACAAGAGAGACTCCATGGTTGCCAGAGAACATGAGCTCACAGGCTCACAATCTAATTAGCTTCTTGGCTTGCCAAAGGATTACAGGAGAATTAGCAACGCTCAGGAGTCTAGGGACCTTGCTGGGAGTTGAGGGGAAGTTAATGAGAACGGTGACAACATGCCCCAGGGAAAAATGAAAGAGGAGGAACTGTCAGTCAAGCAGAGATGCCGGCAGGAGAGACAGATGTCAGGAGTCTCTGTCTCCCTGGCAGATCGCAGACCTCCAGGGGAGCAAACAGGTAGGGCTTCTGGGTCAGGCTCCTGTCCTCTGGCTCACATCAGGCGACCATGCTCTGGGCACCTGTAAGTGACCTGAAACAGGAAAGCTGAGGGCAGCTCCGAAGGTCGAGTGCCCAAGTCTGCTTTCGCTCTTTTCCCAGAGGGTTCAAAGGCTCAAACAACTGCTGGATGGCAGAGCTGGACCCCTGGGCCCATCTGCAGGTGGGTGGGAGGTGGTGACCGCCCTTAATTGGATGTGGCGGACTTCATCTTCCAAAGGCCGTTAAGTGTCTCCCGTTCCTGCCTTGCTCCTACGATGATATTGTCATGCCCAATAAAAAGGAGTTATATTAGGTCTGCCTGGATTGTTCTCTTTTGAAACCACCCCCATTGGAGCCCAACCATCGCATCCTAGGAAGGCCAAGGCCTCATGAAAGGGCCCTGTGTAGTTGCTGTGGCCTACAGTCCTAGTCAGGATCAGTTAGATAATTCACAGGATCCAATAATAATTCACAGGATCCAGTGCAATATGAAAACGCGGCATTGCTGCTTAGAAATTAAGGTTAGATGGAAGCAGGAAACCACTTACAGAGGGAACTGTCAGGTCCAAAGACACTCTGGATCCCAAATTCTGCTGGTAAACAAAACTCAGCATTCACTCAGGGGCTTGGGAAGCTAGTTCCCACTTTCCAAAAGGAGTCATTCTCCTTGTCTCTAGCAAAAAAAGGACTTGTGGCTCTCATACGTCTGTGGTCCATACCAGCTCCCAGGCTCCCTCACGACCTAGTCACACTCCTTATTCACGTCAGCCTGCACCCCAGCTCCTCACTGGCTCCCTTTCTCCAGGTACCAGCTCCTGAAGATTTGTGTCATGTCCCCGTGTCCCCTGTCCATGTCCCCGTGTCCCCCCTCCCATCACTGCTCTCTGCTTTCCCAAAAGATGGCCCTGGCTTGGCAGTTTGGAGTAAATTTTCCCCCCTGTCACCCAGAAGGGGCTATTGCTGTTTCTTTACTGCACCCCATGAATTCAGGGTACAGTTGTGTGGGAGAATGACTGCGAAGCTCTGGCTTAATATTGGGTAAGCATGGTGGGCCAGCAAGATGGCGCAGCAAGTACCAAGCAAGTTTGATCCCTGGGACGCATACGGTAGAAGAGGGGAACTAACCCTGAAAGTTGTCCTGTGACCACACACACACACACACACACACACACACACACACACACACACACACACACAATAAATAAATAAATAATATGTACGTATTTTTAAAAAGCAACCAGGGAGCCAAGGGTCTAGAAAAAAACTTAATATGTACGAGTCCCTGAGTTTCAAACGTAAGGCCTTTATGTATTTATTTATTTTACTCAAGATAAAACCCATGGTCTTGGGGCTGGAGACATGGTTCAATGTTAAGAACACCAGCTGGTTTTCCAGAGGTCCCGAGTTTAATTCCCAGCAACCACATGGTGGCTCACAACCACCCGTAATGAGATCTGGTGCCCTCTTCTGACTTGCAGAGATACATGCAGCCAGAACATTATACAAATAAACAAATAAATCTTTAAAAAAACAAAACCCAAAACAAAAAAGTCATGATCTCAGCCTGGCAGTGGTGACATTCACGTTTAATCCTAGCACTTGAGAGGTGGAGGCAGGCAGATCTATGAGTTCAAGGCTAGCCTGGTCTGCAAATTGAGTTCCAGGGTGGCCCAGGCTGTCACACAGAGAAATCCTGTGTTGAAAACTCAAACCAAACCAACCAACCAAGCCAAACCAAAACAACTATGATCTCATGCATGCTAGGCAAAATCCTTTTCCTCTAAGCTACATCCTCAACCCCTATGGGTT